TAAACAGGAGAACGATTAGGGTTCTCAACCAAAGCCTTTAGTTCTGACAAAAACCTAACCGCAAGGCAGCGGTTAAGGCGGATTGGAAGCCCATTAACTTGGATCGATTATTCCTCCAACACGTCGACTCAACTCGAACCCCAACCTGGAGAACCAGGAGACTGGACTTCGTCTGATCTCTACCCATTGACCTCCCAGGGATGATTAGATCTTTGGCTCGACAAAAGCCATCCTGTGTAGCTCGTTGGGTCATAGAGGTGCACAAGCCATCACACCACGCCAAATGCAGTATCGTCGTGACGGTTAGCAGCACAATGTCGTCTGCATACTCTAGATCAGACAGTCTGCTACCTGGGAGTAAATCGCTGTCGCTGTCCTCGCACGAGGATAAGGCTGTTTCCATAATCAAATAAATACCACAGTTAAATAGAAAAGGCAAGAGAGGACAACCCCGACGAGCACCCCTTTCTGTGCTGAACTCATGCGAAACAGTGCCATAAGCTTGTACTCGGCTTCGGCTGTTAGTTTAAAGCGATGGTAATATTGAAATTAACGTCTCGGGTACACCTCTCAAAGAAAGGCAGCGACTGAGTCGAAAGTGGCTTTCAGATCAAGGAAGATAGAAATGGTGGATCTACGAAAGGAGTGTCTGTGTTCTAGAATTTGACGAAGAGGGAGGATGTGGTTTTCACAAGAAGACCTGTTGTAAATCGGTATGATCACCGATTCACATCATTTAATTGGAACCTGTTCCTTTTACCACTGAACCCAGGAGTTTTGTTAACTCCCTAACCAAGACTAGACCTCCATCCCTAAAAGCCGATGGGGACAGCCCATCTGGGCCGGAAGCCTTATACCTTTTGAGATGGCTTATTTCTCGGGTCACCTATTTCAGATGGAGGACTGATGTCAACTAGCAGTATTTGCACAGCTGAGCGGGGCCTTAACATGTTCTGCCCATCGATCTAGACGGCGTTGCTGAATATGGATCAGTGTGCCGTCGGACTCCTTAATTACCTCCCTTTCCTTGGACACGTAATCCTAATTAATCGGAAAAGATTACGACTATTACCGATAGCACAGCCTTCTCCATCTCTCTACACTTTCCCACCCACCACTTCTCGCGGTCATTCTTCAAACTCTTGATGAACTGGCGTTTAAGAGATTTGCGCGCCTTGTCGTGTCTTGAACATCGAAGGAGTGGCTTTACGAGCGTCCAGCAAGGCAACCAAAGTCGGGGAGATCCATCGTTTTTTATTTGATCGTGAGCCAGAATTGACATTTGGATCGCTTCATTGATTGCCATCCAGTGCTCACTGAGTCCTCCAGCTGGTGGTTGAGCTGAGAGGCGATATAATAGTTCCGCTTTGAAGGCCGATTTGCAACTATTGCTGACATTGTATCGTGGGTATCCGTTTTCGGTGGCTTTTCCGCGTTTGCTTACTAGACGTAGGGAAAATCTCGCTCGTAGCAGAGCATGGTCCGTGTCCACGGGTTTTGACCAGCAGGAGCGGCAGTTTTCAATGGATCCTCGCCAGCGGTAAAAGATGGCGATGTGGTCAATCTGGGNTGGTCAATTTGGGTCCAGCGCAGTGAAGCGGTTGGCGATCTCCATGTAAGACGGTGGCGATTTTTGTGCGAGAAGTTGGTGCTTGACGGGAATAATCCGTGGTCAGCACAAAGTTGCAGTCGGCGTTCTTCGTTGTCAGTCTTGTTGGCTGGGATTGCCTGTGAACCACCAAGTAACCTCTCTGATTTGTCCAGGGATCTCACTTGAGCATTGAAGTCTCCAGCGACCACCGCGATGTTCGTTGACCGAGCACTTCGGAGCAGTTGAGAGAGGTCCTTGTAGAATTCATCCTTCACTTCTGGCGAACTGCAATCTATCGGTGCATACGCGGATACGACGAATAAGCATCGTTCTGTACGGCTGTTAACCGGGATTCAATCGAGAAGCAAACGCTCGGCCTTGACACCAGAAACACCACGAGCTTCGAATGTCGAATCGCCTAACACACGGAGGGTGAAGCGTGAGGTCGAGGTTAGGTTAGGAGAACGCAGGGAGATGATTGAAGTGGGGTCTTGTATGCGTGCTTCAGAGACACAGCATACATCTAAATGGAAGGTTCCAAGGGTTCTAATTAAGGCAGCTTGTTGACCAATCTGATAGAGTGTGCGGACATTAAATGCGGCTAAGTGGAAAGGAGATTTTGGTTTCACAAATCTGATAGCCTCTGAGTGGTTGGCCTCATTAGTTAAACACAGTGGTGTGCTGTGGGTGGCGCAAACAGGATGCATCTCTTAAGGTTTGGGAGTGAGAAGAGGAAATAGGCAGTTGCGAAAGACGGTTCTCCAAATGGGTACTTAAGACTTCTGGGCACGGCATACTTCACCGTTGCCCTCACCGACGAAGAGATTTTTCCTTGGGAACCCTAACCGGATCCTTCGACTCAGAAGTCTGCCCCTTAAGAGGGGGCGTAAATCCAACGCGGGAGCGTGAACGAAGCACCCGTGTGAGAGCTTCTAGAAACCTGTCACGCAAGGCCTTCGGTTTTCGGTTCAATATGTTGTTCGCTGGTGCGCTGTTTATGGGCCCGCTTTTCGGGATCGGCCCTTAGCCTCATGCACCCAATGAGACAAGCGGAACGTGGACGGGACAGCACCTACTTGACTGGGGGCTGCCCAGCTTGGGCGGCTGGTAGCTGTCCAATGAAGTGCGAAGACTTCTCCCACTGTCGAGAGGAAACCCTAGGTACTCCGCTCTTACGTCCATCTAACGGTTTTTTTACCGGTAACTGCCCCTCACCGTGTTTATTTACTGGAGTGACCTCTCCAGGGGCGGGTGTAGATAGAAAAGGAAGCCAGGAGGTGCCCAAACAGCTGGTTTTGTGAAACAGCCTTGTCTGACCTCTACCGGTTGATCTTTCAGGCATGATTGGGTCTACGGCTGTGAAAAGCCATTCTGTGTAGCTCGCAGGGCCATGGTGGTGCGCAAGCCATCACACCACGTCGTGATGGCAGTACCTTCAATGAACAGATATCGTCGTAAAATTTGTGATCATCTCTACCCACGTCTTCTGTTGTGATCAGCTAAGTCCGTGTTTTTTTTTATACAAACAATGCGTTTTAAGACCGGTGATAGTTTCAGTGGGAAGTTTAACTGGTCTTACACATTTCGCTTATATTTTCTATACCCACTGATATCAAATTCTGTTCTTGCTTGTCTCAGCTCTTGTGAGTCATTGACGTGTCTCGCTCTAAGCGAAAAGGTCGTCTACGTGGGTTCTTCTGTTGGGACGCTTCGGCAGATAGCAAGAGAAGGGAGTCGTCTATGTCTTGGAGATGATTCGTTGACCGCATTAACGGCTTCCATGGTGACTGAAAAGTAAGTTCTATCTTTGTTAAACACTGATTGTTGGTTTCTACGGATTTTGTTACAGATTTGAGGTAATGTGGCTCTTGGTGTCATGAGCATAGTCTCGTAATCTGTTTTACAATCTGACAGTTGTAACCGTTGCCCCAAGAAAGAGCATCCTGTGAAATAAGTTGTAAGAAAGTCAGCTAATCGTGATCAATGCTCTTTTTGCTTTCATTCTTTTGCTGTCTGTCTGGTCTTCCTCTTGGTCGTCGCATTCCACTTTTGCCGTTTTCATCCTTTACCTTCGCTTATTTTCGGTTTCGTTGCATTAGACTAAGTAGAGCCGTATTTTCTGACTGCCTAGCAGGAATACTACCTAAAACAGCTGATCGAGACTGTTATTGCGATTCGTGTGAGGTTCACTTTGTTGACACTGAAGATTTCACTTAGTATGATAGAGCACGTATTTAGATCGTTAGGTGCTGCAACCGATTCGGAGAAGAATCATTAACACCAAATGACAACGTTTTTTTCGGATACAGTGTTTAAACTGATATGCTAGAAATGATAAAACACTCCCTATTTCAGCGTTCCTTCGGAAAGACGGGACGAAGTTCATACGGACTCTGCCATTGTCTCCTTGGCCATGCAACCGGAGGGAAACCATCTACTCATTGCTTATACAAGCGGCTGTGTTGCCGTTGCCATTCCACAACCTTTGGCGGATGTCACTGTAGCCGAGTCACGACCCGGGGAAGTAGCTCCAACGGCGGAGGTGGAGCCAACAACGCCCAACAACGAGGAAAATTCGGTTGATGCAACTGCGGACCCTGCACCACCTGCAACTCCGGCCACCGAACAACCCCAGTCCACCGCTCCCGAAACACCCGTAAAGGAAACTGTTGAACGGCTTGCTACCTTGAAACTGAAGGGCTTTGCTCGAAGTTTACGTGGAACTGAGAGTGCAAAGCCTGAGGTATGTCGAGCGTTGATATGTTGCTACCTCAGCACAAATTTTAGCGTGTTTGTTGTGTTTTATATGTTAAATTGCTCTCCATTTAATTTCCTTCGTGTCATGTTATATTCTGTGTAACTCACACTGTATTTCATATCTGATTTATTTATTCTTGACTAACACCTTTCATATCGTGTCCAGTTTACACATTTTTAACCAGTTTTTCCCTATCCAATCATCTTGACATCATAGCTTGTTAACCCAACAATTTGCACAGAACCATTCATTCAACATCAACTTAGGCCTTGTATTAGTCTACTGATTAATCAAACTTTGAATGTCAATTCCTGAAGCGATATACCNAAAAGAAATTTCTTCGCGTTTCTGCTTTGTTCTTATGCATCGATGGGAGTATTTAACAAATAGGTTTGTTTCATCTCTCAGTATGATGCACGACAGGAGTTGTAAACCGAATAATTGCAATAGCTGTCTTGAATCATTTACAAGGTCGTATATGATAAGTTTGTTTTTGTGTTAAGCAAGGCTTAGACTATCTTGAATTCTGCACCTTTTCTTGGTCCCGCTGTCAGTTTATTGCCCGTTCCATTTGCCTAATTATTGGTTCACTCAACCCCGGTGAATAAAGGACTGACCATAACGGACGCATGGGAGTAATTGTTTTGGCACATTTGAGACCCAAACGTGAAACGTTTGATAAAAGTTTTGTCTCGATTGCCGTCTTGATGTTTATTCTCTATTTTTACCAAGTTTTATGTTGTCAATTACACTTGCTTATACTCTCGCAAAATACCATGTAAGAGCTTGCTTCCACACGAAAGATGGTACGTCCTAGAAGCTGCAATTAACGAATATTCAATCAGGAACTTTGGGGCGCGCCAAGTGGAATCATGTAATCTGATTAACAAAGCCTCACTAATTGCCAGCAGTTTTGCATTGTGGTTACGTAATAAGGGGCTGAAGCAGGAAGCGGGATCGGTATATAGAGTTCTCTAGCTTCTCACCCATGGTTTACAAACATGGAATAGTAAAAGCTCTTTTCCGTCGAACCAGAAAAATTTGTTCCCTCCCAACACTGCGAGAGGAAGAGTTTTAAAGAAAACATTACTGCTTAACGGTTACTCAGGAAAATTCGTTGATATCCATGGTGAACAGTATCTAAAATGTAACCCATCTCCAACTGTTCCTGATAAAGCGGTCTGCATCAAATTATCTTTCAAGGGTGATCGCCTATACGATGTACACCAAAGTTTAAAGTTAGCTCTGAACCACCTATTCCCAGCTGCTCAACTTCGACTTGTTTCCTTTACCCGTAGAACGGATTTGGATAAACGTAAACAGAATCGGCAACCCAGTTCTGTCTCATACAGTGTATACCAGTTCACCTGCAGTTGCGGGCATACATCAGCTCAGTTCAGTTTGTACAATATATATATATATATATATATATACGCATCCATAGACAGAACCAACTGTCAATTATCACAACGAATGACCGAACACGTTCCAAGCATCATCATGATCGTACAGCGAAATACCGTGAGACGAACTTCACTGATCGCTACCAAACAGGCAATGCATACAAGGTTAGTGGTAAAATTTAAGGAAGACAGGAATTGGACCTCCTTTGAGGGAGAGAGAAGAAGGCGAACCTCTGGTCAACACGGTGTGCGATCGAACTCTGCATGCATACCCACATACCAGACACACATGCCACACGTCCCAAAGGGGTTGGTGAAGTCAAAGACGTAACACACACACGGTAATCAGGTGGTCACAGGGAATCTGGGGTCGTCCATTGCAAAACACGTCAGGATAACCAGACAATTGATCCCGCTTCCTTTTTCAAACCCTTATTATGTAACCGCAATGCGAAACTGTTGGCAATTAGTGAGGAGTTAATAATCATTTTTGTGCGCCCAAAAGTTCGCTAATCGCAGTTGCGGAGTCGTCGTTGTCCGCATAGTGTCCAGCTTTTGTTTAGAGTATGTATACCAAGATAATCTACGCATCCTCGCTTTGTGTTTTCAGGTCGAATCCGAGCTGAAGATACCTGTTCCTCCAGCCCCAAGAATTAGTCATCTTCTCATTCGTGATCAAGCTGTGAAGTCTGCCGCTTGGCGAGTTACGACGGTTGGAAGCCTTTCTACCGAGGTGGTCATAGCTTATGAAGATGGAGCGTTTCAAGTTTGGCCAGTTGTTGCCACGGTTAGTCAACAACCACAAGAACCAATTATTGTCTCCAAACGCGACCCACCTAATACTCCTTATGGTAAGTTTACCGAAAACCATTTTATTGCGCGAGCCTGGTTAAACAACTTGAAAACCGATGTCGGGGCTAGGCGGATTACATTGATTAATCACGATCGCACCCTAATGCAAGTGCTTCACCTCAATAGCGGCTAGTGTATATATGTTACACACGTCATTGAGTGGTCTTCCTGGGCGTACCATGATTTACAAGGAAAGCGGTAATCCAAATAAGTTAACGGTGGGTAAACCTGGCATAAAGCGATGAAAACTTTGACCGTATAGCTCTCGATGGAGTTCCTTGTTACTTGTCCCAGTTATGTCTGACTGGTGATTAGAGACAACAGGTTGCATGACCAACCGTCATTAACACTACCGTTTGTGCATATATATATATATATATATATATATATATATATATTCAAACACGCCTGGATCCAGACTGTGTGCCAAACAAATCATAGTACAATATTCATTATGAAAAAGAAAGACGTTCCATGATTTACATGTGTGCATTTACCAGCTTTCAACGCAGAACTAGTTTCCCGCTCTCTTCATATCAGTCTTGGTGTAGGTCGACACACCCATTCCTCTGCGATTTCTCGGGAACGCGTACACCCAGGATCAAGATATTATGTCCAGGATGCAACTGGTATGTTTGTCTTGTTCCCTCATCACATAAGGCTGTCATACTGATTTTAAACTTAAGCTTCGGGAACCCTATTTTATCCTGGATAATTAGTGTGAAAAATGCCAAATGCTTTTAGGGTGCATTTTTGGGGCACGAACACAAAGTGCAGGCCACAGTTCAATAATTGGGTTGAGCGAAGTGCGCACCTTACCAGTGTCTGGCGCAAAGCCCCGTAAAGTACCATGTAGCATATTTCATATTGTGAGAGGTCTGCGATCAAAGCTCAGACGTTGTTTTGGATAAACTTGTTTAATTTGTACCTTTGATTGACGAAGGCAGGAGAACGTCGCACAGTGGATGATTGAGTTGCGTACCAAGCTGGAACAATGGAACAAGGAACGAGAGAGAAAGAGACCACAGAGCAGGAAACGAGGCTATATTCTAACAGTATAGGTACATCGGTTATAGTGGAAAGATAAAAACTACACGATCCTTAAACAATGATACCATGGTATAAATATTAAAAGTGAAACAAAATCACAAAATGAATAAGGAGGAAAAGCTTGCGCAAGGTTGCCAAAATAATTTTACTATCAGACATAGTTATCGGCGGCTTTTTACAAGATTCAGACCGTTATACATTCGACAAAAAGTGGAACGCGCAGGTCAAGAGGTAACTTATACTTATTTCAACCAACATAGCAGCAAAACTTCAAAGTTACAGACACCATATAAGGAAATATTGGTGTTCGTCAGTACAGCAAGTGTTACAAATGTAAGTGGTACTCTGGGTAACTTAAATCCATATAACAGACTAAGTCGATCGGGTCAGAGTTTACATCAAACAAAGGGCTGAGCAACGTGATATCAACTGGATACATCTGTAGCGCCGTCGCGAGCCCCGGTTGTTTTTGAAGGGTCGATGATATGCTGTACTTCAGTTAGTGCAATGACTTGGCCGTTCTGAGACCAGGACAAGGGGGAAAATGGCATAGCATTGCATTTATATCGCCTCAAGGAGATTCCTTTTGTCCGAATGTCTTCGATCAAAAAGTAACTCGGAAACGTTGATCACAATAATCCATTAGAATTCACAGGTCTAGGATTTTGAGCGGTTTTTCCGTACCGTTTGCCCCTTCGCTTTTTGGGGTGGAATTTCAAGCTTTGGCACATTCAAGCGCCATCGGCACACATCGGGGTTGTTGTGATCAAGCCGGTGACCAGTGATTTGGTTCATCCGGTTAAATGAAAGAACATGGGTGAGCAATGTTATTTGTGGCAGTTCATTCGCCACGTCACATTACCGTCGTCAGGCTTGCGGCGTTTTATGGAGAGGGCA